TGGGCGTTTAGCTGGTACAACCAGCACACATCTCTGAGACAGGAACAGCACCGTTCAGGGAGATTGAGAGAGCGGCAGCCAGGCTGAAGCACAACCCTGCTGAGCTGGGAGCAGGAAAGTAGGTCGTGGGGGGGACATGAGTTGGGTGAAACAAAGGTGCGTCTGAGGCCAGGCTGTGTCATCCCTCTTCATCCTCCTGAAGTGCTGTCTCATATCTGATTTAACTCACTCGGTATCCTTGCAAAACAGGCAGGGATCTGGCCCTGGACATTGTGTCCCGGGGAACATGGGCAATGGGTGTGTGCCACCCCGTGGTCTTAAAGCCATAGACAGTGGCACAGGCCATACGATGTGAGCACCTTCCACAGCCATGGCCACACCTCACACGACAGCCCCATATCTTGGAGTGGCTGTCACCTTGTCTGTCCTCTAGTTGGACTGGAGAAAGCAGACCCATCCTGCAGCTCAGGAACCCACCCCTGGGTGGGCAGCTATCCATTACCTTCCGCAAACCTGAAGGGGAAAGACTGTCTTCTATAGGGAGAATGAGGGAGAATGAATTCCCTTTTAGTCTATGGTGCATAAAGCTCTCCACTTTATACGGGTACTCTGCAGTGACACAGACTAGTCACTGAAACTCAAGGTACAATGTACTCTCCAGAGATAAATACCCACTGGTAATGCCAGATCTAGGCCTTCAGATGTTTCCAAGGTCTTGGCCAGAGAATGTGGCCTCCATGGAATTCATGGAACTTTGCTCTTTACATTGGGAATAGAAATCTCTGCAGGAGCGGACAGAGCCTCAGGGACCACTGAGTAGCCACAGCACCACAGTGGCCTCAGAGGCAGAGACAGCTAGCAGGGGTGGTTATGCTCACTCTGTGCTATTGAACACATTATTCATTCCCATTAAAAAACACTTTACCTCTGATGCACACAGTGGTGTCTGGGCTCACGCTGCCATGGAGAATGGAGTCATTGCTTGACTATTTGTCCAGGAAAGGACAGTTTAGCATATGCAAACGGAGGTGCCCCTGCAGCCCTTCTGCGGGGCAGAAGCAGGTCTCTCTGAGCATGTGTGAGAGGCCCTGTCTGTAACTGACCACTCCGCCAACCTTCAGTGTTGTGGCTCTGTCCCCACAGCTACTGGGGTTCCCCCAGCACAGCTGCTCTCTGAGCCAGAGCGAAACATAGGTCTTTATTTCATCCCTGGACCTTTTCCTATTTCTGTTGTCCTCTCCTCTTGGGAGTCATCCTGTCTTTGGTTGTCACAGTCAGGGATGCAGCTGAATCCCCACAGTGCCCAGCATGCTGCTGTGCCCTGGTCTGAGAGGTGGCAGTGGTGCTGTGGATGAGAAATGCTGCCCCAGCACAGAGCATGTGCCCAGACTCAGCAGGGTCCCTTTCAGCCCGTCCCTAGCTGTCCCCAGCCCTGGGTACCTTATGCCTTCAACGTCTCCCCTGCTTTGGCTCTCCGTTCTGTGCCTCACGAAGCATTCAGGTCCCCTGCTGCCCCTGAACAGCAGCTGATGCCATCCAGCCTTCACCTTGTCCCTGTCTCCAGCAGGCCCAGTCCAGGCCTCTGCAGTGAAACTGAGTCACCGCTCTGCCCTTGCTGCATAGTCCACGTCCCCCAATGCACCTCAGCATCCACTGGGGAGCTCGGATCGTAAACACCCAGCACCTGGACCCAGTCCAGCTGCACCCGCTGCAGTACTGTGACCTGAGCCTAGAACTCAGTGGGTCCGGAAGCTCCAGCTCCCTAAGCTGCTTTAAGTACAGACCATGGCTGAGGCCGTGCCGCCACCTGTTCCCCTTGCTCCCCTCTACTCTCAGCCGGGCTGCCCTGGACCCCTGCTGCTGTATACCTTGGAACCAGGCTCCCCTGTTTCTGGACTGACAGCTGGTATTCTTTACCCCCTTACTGGAAGTGTTTCCTTAGAAATACTATGCGGCATCAAGGACCACCTCAGGGTCCCCTCCTTATGGCACCTGAGTTCCCACCTGAGATCTGGTGGGCTTGGTAACCACTTTAGGGAGACTTGCACTTAGGGCTGCAATCACAGTAAGGAGTGGGGTGTCCTGTACCCTCTCCTCCGGCTGGCACTCCTTGTTGATTCATGCCCAGCCCCTCAGATGCAGCCTCCCCGCGGCCCAGCATCTTCAAGCAGGGGTGAGTGACCTCTCTCTAACTAACCACTTGTACAGCTGCAGTCTCTGTGGATAGGGTCCACCTCCCCTGGCTCGGTCAAGCTTCCTGCAAATACCATACACTTGTGCTTTGAGCAACCTAGAAAAAGGCCAGCACAGGAACTCAGCAAGTTGACCACTGGCTTCCTGCCCCGCTAGACTGCACTGCTGCAGCAGGTCTTATGGAGCTGTCGGGCAAGCTAAAGGCATGAGTGTTCCCCGAGCTTCTGAGGAGGACCGTGTTGGTGAAAGTCCCTGCGCTTTGGGGTTCAGGGTCAGGGCTTCTAGACATCTCCATGGGATAGGGAAAGCGCTCAGGCCTGCGCCCGCTCTTCAGTTAACACAAATTCAGACGGTCAAGAGGTAAGAAGCAGGGCAGAGGCCAGGCCTCCAGAAGGTCTCTTTCCAGGACTTAGTCTACCAGGGCACCTCATGTAGCCACACAACTGGGTTTTCCAGGAGTGGCCAGAACCCTGGCATCATTTCCGCTTGTCCAGCATCCATAAAGGTTTCATCTCTGCCGTTCATGCTGCTCCCCAAAAGTGTGCATAGGGCACTTCCTGTGCCTTCTTGCACAGCCTAGAACTCCTACGCTGCGGCAGGAGAGGAAGGGGCAGGTAAGGGTGGCATGGAGATGGAGAGGGGGAAATGCCAGGACTCAGGATTGGCGGATAGGAAGCCTGAGCCCTGGAACCACCTCTGCTGCCTTGGAGCTGAGCATGGCTTGGGGACACTGTCCAGAGCCCTGGGCTTCAGCTCCATTGTCATCTGTGTGGGACACCAAGAAGCACAGATTTATCAAGGTCCTGCAGCCTACCTGGCAATCAGAAGGGTCCGGCCATCAGTCTTCCTACAGTGAAGCGACAGTCTCACGTCCTGGAAGCCCTGGTGATGGCTGCTGCCCACAGTCACAGCCCCTCCCTCACCCCAACCCACCAGGTTGGACACCAGAGCCAGCCTCATGCAGAGGGAGGCCATTGATATTTGGTCCAATATGTCTCCAAAACCCTTCATATCGTGACCTGAAGACAGGAGGACGCCGGGAGCCAGGCTGATTCCAGAGCTGATGAATGCCAGTGAGACTTCATGGTTGCTATTTAAATCCCAAGAGTTGGAGGGACACGAAGTTTGTTTTACGTACATGTCGAGTTACTACAACCCCCAAATTATTTCAGGTGCGGGTTTTAAATTAGTCTTTTCATCTCACGCTGTAGGTGGCTGAGTTTGTACAGTCTCTTCTAGGCTGTGAAAAGCATGCCAAGAGCTTCAAGAAAGAAGTAAGCAATGTAAAAGTTAGACACATTTCTAGTCTCCCGGGCCAAAAGAGCTTCATTTCCACTTAGCTAAATATAAACGAGCATTCGGGAGGGCAGAGAAAGGGGGCCAGCAGGAAAGGAGCCCTCAGTGTGGGGTAGGTGGACACAAGGACAGCCATGAGGTGCTGTACCACTTGGGGGAGGGGCAAGTGAGCACAGTAGTCAATTAGTACTTAAAGAAACCTGTGCTTTGGTGGTGCAAAGTCACACGAGGGAGGGGAGCCCCCCATTGGGACAGCAGCAGGGAGCAGAGGGGACTCTGTCTCTCTCTCTCTCTCTCTCTCTCTCTCTCTCTCTCTCTCTCTCACACGCATATGCATACACACACACACACACACACACACACACACACACACACACACACACCCGCCCCTGCCTGCACCTGCTTTGGAGGGACTTTGAGAAACCGCAGTGAACTTTCTGCCTCCTCACGGTTGGGAGTGTTCTGAACTTTCCTGGGTCTGTGTTTTCCCTGGGATAAGTAATCATAGTGACTGGAGCTACAGAAAAGAGCCCACCACCTGCGGATTAATAATTCAAATCCCACTGACATTGGCTATGAATTGTAGCCTACCGCATGCCTGGCAGGCTGCTGAGTTTCTTATCATCATGTTCTTCTGATCTCAGAACACCGCAGTAGTAGACCGCGGCAGACAAGGGCAGGCTCGGGAAGGCTGGGCACGGCAGGCAAAGGCAGTCGGCCTCCAGCCACCTCCATCCGAGCCTCTGTCTTGCCCTAGAGCTTCCAGAAAACCACCCTTCCAGCCTCTCAAAAGCACATAGTTTGTAGAGCATGCAGAGTTGGGACAGAATACTCTGAGTTTTGGGGTCCTGGGACTCTCAAGACCCCCTCCTTTCTGTTCTTAGAGTCATTACCAGCAGAGAGACATTGACTCTAGTTTTGTGCTGCTATCTTTGAAGAGGGTGAGAACCATGGTACCAGGCTTACAGAAGGGTGTGGCCAGGGAAACCCTGTGCATTCCTCTCTTCTGGGCCCCTGAGCCAGAGTCAGTTGAGCCAGCTGTGTCCATAAACAATATGATAGAGGGCCATGACCTTGCATGGCCTGCGAGTCCAGCTCTGGTTTCTAGGTCCTCTGGGCAGTAGCCACTTGCCCTCTGTGATTTGGGAAAGTTGTCACACTTCAGACTGAAATGTGTGGTTTTTCTAAGGTTTTTATAATAGGATAAAGGTATTGAAAGTTCACAATATGAGGACTGAATCTGCCATGTACATGGCGTAGTAATTACTGCATTGAGCAAAACAGTACCACACTGCCTTGGGACAGGGCGCTCTGCAGAACCCGGTCCCCTCCAGCCAAGAGTCACTCTGAACTCCTTTCAAAATACTTTGCAGAGCTGAGGCTCTATGATAGGGCACTCACGTAACACATGTGAGGTTCTGGGTTCAATTCCCCTGCAGTGCAAAACACATAAAAATAAAAAATAAAACACCTTTCAAAGTCACAAAATAAAACATTTACTGTGTAGACAGTTCTGGGTACCATAGTTTTTATTCTGGATGGAAACCTTAAAACACAGAGACATTAAAAGGAGGAAGTAAAACCCAATCATCATCCTACCAGCCAAAGATAACTTCCCTGAACATTTTCTATAAAGACTGCTATGATTCCGAATGTGTGTGTGTGTATGTGTGTGTGTGGGGGGGGGGGTTGAAGCAGATTTTGTTTTAAAAATTAAAACTGAGGCCTTCATCATCGCTGAGATGTGAATTTGGCAGCAGTGAGATGCCCAATCCTGCGGCAATGCTGTACGTTCTTTACTTTTGCTGGATTGGCAGCCTGGGATGAACTGCACTGTTATACATGGTACTAAGTATCACATTGCACATGGTTCTCTCAGGAAAGAGTCCTTGAGATTCTTGGTGTTAGTCTTAAAGCTCTTTATACAGGTTCATTCAAGCCAGGAAGAAAGCCCAGCAGAACCCACCTGGAGACGGTGACCATACACCCACATTTCTGCTTTGGCTTCTCTCTGTTTCCAGGTGGGGAGAACAGACAGCTGATGGGCAGATAAAGGACACCTCATTCTCTTGCTGCCAGCTCCCCAGAGTCACCAAGCATCCAGGAGCTCTGGCTGGACAAACTGACTTTTGTGGCAGGTGGGTTTGACTTGAGTTCATGTATTTGATTGCAGCAGATACATGGCCTGGGTGGACATCGTCAAGGTCATGGAGATCAAGCTGGGCCCAGCTCCGATGGTCTACGGTTCCATCCTGATGTCCAGGAGCTCCCAGGGCCTCAGGGAGGATGAAGCTGCCTTGGGCCAGGAAGCAGGGGAAGAGGGTCTGCTGCTCATGGCACATGGACCTTTGCTCTCCAGCGATGGGACGAGTGCCCATCAGTTGCTTTTAATGACTCCACAGTCATTGCTGTATTTAGTGTGGACCCTTGTAGTGCCTGCTGCTTGTGAGGGCAGAGGTTTTCATTGGCAATCAGGTGTCAGGGCTTCAGTGGCTGGGGATACTTCTTGCTCTGATGTGTGACAGCCAACAGGCCAAGGCCCACACATCCACCTGTATCCTCCTCGATGCAAAAGCAGTCCACTTTCCATTTGCAAACAGAAGTCTTCCAAGCAGTAAAGCAGCAAGTTACAGTCTTCATCCATATCCTGGGTGAGTTTTCACCAGGCCCGCGCTGGGCATGGCCCCCAGCTAACTCATCTTGCATTTGAGTTTGCTCTTTATTTACACCCTGGGTTTCTCATGAGTGTTTAATAAATGAGAAGAAATGGATTGAGTGAGTCTTAAGTGATGGAACTGTAGTGTTTTGGACAAGATTTCACAGTGACATGTGGGTACTTTACTCAGGAAAGTATGACTGTAAACAACAACAATAGGCACAGGTGCTCATGGTGTGTGGATTCCCCTTCTTACTCCATCAGCTCTTTGCAGGCCACACTCCCAAGACATATGGGGAACCCGATAAAGGAACATTCCCAGCAGGGACAAGAGAGAGCCTGGTGGGCATTTCCAGGAGCTGCTAGGACCCCTCCTCCCGAAGGCCTTCCTTCAGCAATGACACCCTCACCAGCTGGTGGGCCAGACCCAACTTCATCGGGATTTCCTGCCATGCTTGGAAGCTGTCTAATGAGAAGCTGGAGCTGGGTAACAAATACACCAGGAGCCTGCATGCACTTGGACAGACAGTAACACCGGGAGAAGGGGCGATGGCTGAGGCAGGAGCCCGACATCTGTCTGGTTTGAAAGGTTCTGATTCGTTGTCCCATCTCATTGGTGTTTTGTTTCATACCTTAGACCCACAGTTAGGGAAGACGAGTCCCTCTCAATTCTTCCACTTCTTGGTACTCTTACCCTAGCAACAGCGCAGAGGCCCTCTGGAAGTGGAGACTCCTTCATCATTTTGGGGAGGGGAGAAAGAGGGAGCCGTGCTAAGGTGCCTCGTATGAAACACTTCACCAAGAGCCTTTGTGGTTTATGAAAGCTGATTTTGCTCAGAGACTTGCTCAAAATTTAGGGCACTGAAGACAGTAGACTTCTCAAGAACATACGAATGCACCATGCTTCTTTTGAGCCTTCCCTAAATGTAGTTTCCACATAAGGTCAGTTGATGTAAATTTTGTTTCTGTGTCTTGTGTGTTGTTTTGCTTTCTCTTTTGTTGACTGCCCTGTGCATTGAAAATTTCTGCTCCTGCTATTATAATTTTATATACTCAAAATGATAAGGAACAGATGAAACAAAACCCACACCACCCCTGTCCGAGTGACTGTGTCATTGTGACCTGGGCCCAAGCCCTCTTTGTCCTGCTGTGGAGGAATTCAGGTACCCCAGGTGTCAGTAGCAGAGCAAGTGATTTTGACTACCATGTTCCCTCAGGGTGTGGGTTAATGGTTAGATGGATTCAACTGGAGGTTTTCCTGTTAAGAATTTCCCAGGTGCTCACTGTATAGGCTCTGTGGAATGCCCAAGATTTGTGATTCAGATAATTTAATCCATGTCATTTCAGCAGGAAGGCCTAGAGCTGTAAAAAATGATGCCAAGTGAACTGGGTGGGATTGAAATTCCTGGAAGAAGGTGTGATCACTAGTGGTAGAGCCAAGTGTTACCTGCTGGACACCTGCTGGATACCTGCTAGGCACCACCATGCTGCCACCCATGTGCCCAGCCTCACCCTCTTTCAAAGGGAGCTCAGTCCTCCTAAGTAAGTGGTAAGGAGCTGCCTATTCCAGGAAATGAAAATCTAACCTTCTGACTGTCTGTCCCAAACCTGGAGAGCTGGCCCCACACTGTGTGTGTTCTGTTCTCTCCTCTCCCTCTGGGTTTTCCCACGTTGTGATTCCACATTGAAATCTTCACTCAACTCCTTTTCCCCAGATTCAGCCCATCCTGCCCCCTCCCGGCCTCACACTTGAGGATCCTCTGCCCAAGGTGTCCTAGCTGCACACCCCCAGCAGCCTTTCCCGACACCTTCCCCTCAGTGCTGTCTGTTGTCTCCGTTAGCTCAGGAGATCAGTGGGGACGGACCCTGTGCCCGCGCACTCATCCCTGATTCTCACCTCGTGGCTGACTGTTGTCACACAGCGAGGTGTCTCTTCATCAGGTGTGGCCTCTCTGCCAAAGGAGGAAATCACGCCTGTGCCGAGGTCTTAAAACTTGATTTGGGGGATAGACACATAATTATAAATGCAGGTAGTGTAACACACAAGATACTGTTACCACAAATAGCTGTGAGGAAACAGAAGAAGCACAAATCCATTTCTTTTTATTTATTAGACACTCATGAGAAACCCAGGGTGTAAATAAAGAGCAAAGTAAAAGGTGGGTTATTGTAAGTAGAGAGACAGATCTTTCGCAAAGGGAAGTGGGACCAAGAGATGGAGCCCAGGAAAGAAGGGGAAGGGGATCAAAAAGGAATTAAGGGCATTATGAACACATACCAACCCATGCTTTCCGCTGACGGGGGACTGACCTTCCAGCAGGGTCACCCACAGATGGCCCTGAATGTGCAGGGAGCCTGATGAGCTTGAGAGCTCTGCATCCCGCTCCCTTTGGAGGGGCTCCATGCCCAACCAGGGGAGAGTACAGCTGTGGCTGAGGGGCATTGGGGCTCAGTTCTGTCCTCTGGCTTTTACTCTGACCACTTCCCCTCCCATCCTGCTCCCCAGAAGGATTTGGAGCATTGAGAGTTGAAACTCTTCATTCTGCCAGGAGGACCCCAACGCACAGACACACACACACACACACACACACACACACATACACACACACGAGCGTGCACATGCACACACGAGCATGCACATGACTCTCACATGCACATGTGTGCATGTGCACTGTCTGAGTCAAGCAGCATCCATGTGCCTATAGCATGAAGGATCCTGGCCTTGGCCTCCTTTCTAAATCCCACCTGGAGTGTGAGTTTCATTAGGGAGAAAGCATAGATTTGCCAGATGGACTTCATGAAATCCCAACTTCCAGGTTCTCAGAAAGAGCAGTCCCACAGGGCCGTTTGTGCATCACATGAAGAATACACATCACGAGGCTAGAAGTTGGATCATTAGCAAAACTCCTGGGGCGCTTGGGACTTCAGGACTGTCATCTTTGAACGCCTGCAATGTCAGATAACTTTTGCAAAATTAAGTTTCTCTGCCATTTCCAACAGCCCTAGGACACTAAGCACAGAAAGTCTGTCTTTACTTACTGAACACCTCTTCCCCCTCCCCCCTCCCTGTGATTAGACAGCCTGGCCTTCTTATCTCACATATTAAAAAGGATCCCAGGAGATTCACAGCTTAATTACACAAGACCGCAAGCCATGGCACCTTTCACTTGCCAAGCAGTGCTGATTTTCAAACATGCCGGGGCTTGGGACTGAGTCATTTTTGTCTACAAAATCTCCATCCCGAGTCCTGGCCCTTGCACACTGCAGGATCTAGAGGTGTTTCCTCAGGGAACGGCAGAGGCAGGCTCTCCACATTTACTCACTCGGGTTCTGCTTCATATTATTTAAGGAATATTCAATTTGTCCCTGCAACTCCTAAGGCTAGAGAATGTGATTCTGAATATGAAGCGTTCCTGTGAATATATTCTTACTCTTTGAGAATATGTGCTTCATGAATATATTCTCTATAAATGCATTCTTGTTACAAGCTTATAAATACATGCATGAAGAGTATATATCTTAATCGATTCTTGAATATTCAGAATTATAAATACATTCTTCTTATGAATATGCTTATTAATGAACAATATATTCAGGATAAATCTTTCTCCGACATATGTTTCATTGCCATGTACTCTTGTGCATGTCTTGATCCCTCTGCAGTAGAAGTAGAAACAGACTCTTCAAAATGATGCTGGGAAGATAAAAGCGTAAATTGCTCGACTCAGACTCATGAGTGAAACCAGTCAATTTGCACAGCTGGGCTTTTTGGCATATTGGTGGTCAGCAATTTGATTTCCCAAGAAATTGTCTGCCTCCAAGTCTTTGCCCCATGCAGATCTTCCTTGCAGGAAGATGATTGATTTTGAACCCAGTGATCAATTAAAAATACACCCCCGCTGGCCCTGCTATAAGGCTCAGGGACTTCCAGGGGACCTGCAGGGACCCAGGCAGGCCCAGCTCCTGAAGGAGGAGAAGTGGACAGCAAGCACTGATCGCAGTGTGGAGGGACAGTGCTGCATGACCCCAAGCCTCCTTTGTTATGGGCAACACATGACAGTGACCCAGGGACAAAGCAAAGGTATGGAGAGGTGCTGTGGAGTGAAGTGGTCTAAGAACAGCCATTAACAAGGAAAGGGGGAGCAGAAAGCAGGCCAAATGACACTTGAGTTCAGAATATTGAGAGTTAAATTCTTTTCCTCCCAAGGGTTCTATTTCAGGGTACTCTGGGCGGAGGGAGCTGCACCCAGCAATTTCTCTTTTATGTCAGTTTGGAACTTGACTGAGTTCCCGCTGATTTAGCAATTAAGGAGCAAGGCAAATGGATGATGAAGAGCACAAAGTACTGAGGAATCCCAGGCTCAGCCGGGCTCTTCCAGCGTGGATCGGGCTGCAGGTAACAGCAGCCATGTTAACACATGTGGTGACTGGACGTACAGGAGCCTGCAGCTCACGGGAAATGCTGCGGTCCCAGATGTGTTTCTGCAGGATAAATAAATAAACATCAGATGCTACCGGCTCATCTTACCTCACTTCATCTTTTCAAAAGTAAAGCACGGAAAGACGCTGCTTCATGGTTTTCTACCTGCCCGCGTTTGTTTAGTGTTTCAGCGACAGCTTAGGTAAGGCGCGCATCAGGTAACCTGCAGAAACAGCACAAATGTATTTCTCACAGTTCTGGAGCCCAAGAGCTTGTTGTCAGCAACCCATCGAAGACCTTGGTTCTATGGCATCACACAGCTCGAGGGTGGAAGGATGAGACGGCACCCCGTGGGCACGGCGTTGGCTGGTCTCTGAGACAGTGTTCTGATGACTGAGCCATGGCAGCCCTGCCACAGTGAGCCCTGCTGGTGGGGGCCAGCCAGGTCTGTTCTTCTGCTGGTGTGGGGTCAGAGGACAGCAACTTCTTACTGTTCCATCATCTGAGCCTCTGGGTCTCGCAATCTACATTAGCAGGCAGCCAGGTTCTGACCAAAGGAATCCAAAAACACATTCAACGAATAGTTCATTAGAAAGTGAAACTCAGCCTGTTTAATGCTGATAATTGAATTTTTTTCTTTTTTCATCTTCAACCAATTTGCAATCATGCTCCAGAATGGCCAGCTTCATATCTTTCTTAAAGCACAGATTGGTCCTTCATAAGCCCTTGTTACTACAGTGTGGAGGCTGGAGTTGGCTCTCCTGACCGCCAGGACATTACCCATGTGCCTTCAGCCTGGAATATTTAAATCTAAAATGAGAAAGAGAGCGGCACAGATACACATCATGCATCCTATTGATTCTGAAATACCCGTCACAGGAACCAGCAAATTCACCTGTGCAGATGTCTAGGTGAAAATATTTTAATTTATTCATTCAGCAAATATTTACCGAGTGTCACAATGAGCCAGGCCTTGGGATGTAGCTGTGAACTAATCAGATAAAAGTGGTTCTTCTCAAGCAGCTCACATCCATGCAGGTGGGGAGAAACAAAAAATGAGGGTATGGAAAACTGAAGATGAGGAGAAGGGAAATAAAGACGAAGTCTAGCACCTGGTGTAAGGGGAGATGGACTTTCTGGCCCCTGGGAGACCCAGAACACATGACCAGGTGGTGCCACCTGGAAGAATAAGCTGGCATCAGGTAGGTGAGTCAGACATATACCAGTGCCACCCACACATAGCTGGTCCCGATGCCCCTGTGGGCAGTGTTTTCAAATTAGCCACTTTGGGTACATATTAATTTGAAAATGTATTAACCTTTGGGGAAGCTGGAATTTAGCGAAAGCAATTTATTTGTATTTACTTATTTATCTGTTTTGCCCCAGGCAAGTGCTCCTAAACTGAAAAGTCTCTAAGTTGTAATAGTCTGTCAAGATCAAAGCCGAGAGCAGGCTACCATGCAAGAACTCCCAGGAGAAAAAGACCAAGTTTTCAAGTCTGGGTAGTTGTTTGAAACTTGACAAGTCATTTGGAACTTGTGTCCGCTCTCGGCACACTCAGCTTGACAGAAGCCTATTTCACAATTCAATCTATGTTGTACGCTAGGCGATTGGAATGTCCGCCTTTAGGAGGAAGAAATCAAAGAATGAAGAATTCGCTGACTTAAAAATCTTGTGCTCCAAGGTGTGTACTCCATTTTTTGCTAGTGTTAAACTGGTAACAAAGTATTCATCCCCACAAATCTATTCCTCTCTCCTTTCCCGTTGCTCTGTAGACAACATAGTAAATCGCAAGGCACACTCTTCCCCGGAGCAACTCCACAGCTTTCTCCAACTTGGTGAGCATTTGAGCATAGAGGAACAGATAAATAGAACATGCCTAGAACACCCAGGTCAGGGGTTCATGTGGATCTTTGTTACCCTGTTTCCAAAAAACACCGGGTGAAGCAGTTCCATCAGTGCCACCAGGGACCCCCTCTAGGTAGCCTCTTGCAGACAAAGCTCATGCCTTGCTGGATCTTTCTAGTCAGTGCACACTCACGTGGGTAAATAGAATTTCACCTGCAGCAACTGCATGGTGGAAAAGATGCCCTAAACGTATATTTCTTCAAAACATAAAGAAGAGGAGAGAAGAGGTAAGTTCTTCCCCCTTCTCACCATGTGAAAAAAACAGATCTCTCTTGCTCCCCCTGTGAAATCATCTTCTGTATATTTCTGATGACTCTTAACAACGTCACCTGTCACCTCTTGGCGTTTTCTTTCTGGACTAACTCTCCCTTCTTTCATTCGGATTCTTTTTAGGTTTTTAAGTGTGCAATTTTCCGGTTTTGAGCATTACTTCTGCTTGGCACCTCATCTTCACGCCCACTCTCCTGCAAGGCTGCTCGCTCCCCGAGAACGCCTCCTCCTTGTCTCTGGATGGTGCTTCAGAAGCCGGACGCTGTCAGTCTGAACCATGGCTGGCTCCTGCAAAACATCAGTAACACTGTAGATAGCATCACCCTCCATTCTCTATCTCCCTCCATCACTCTCCTGGGAAGCGAACTCCCAGGGACACAAGAGAGAAACAGCCAGAAAGCTGACTGAGCCACGCATCCCGGCCCCACCAGCATGGAGATGAGAGAGAAACAGCTCCCAGCTAGGGCCATTTTATTAACAGTTTGTAAAATGTCACACAAAACAAGCCCCTGTAGAAAGGCTGCAGGCCAACTGGAGTCCAGCATCCAGGCCCAGGGTGTTACCTACCCAAACCCTGTCCTGTTTTCTGTTTTATGTCCTGTGTGTCTAGCTATTTGATTGGATGATTTTGCTGTTTGACATCTCTCACTTTCCCTCTGTTCTATCTGAATTTCTTTCTCACTTACAATCAGCCTCGCCTGGTATAAGCGGCTCTATCTCTTTTGAAATATTTGGTGCAGTCCCTTTCCCAAGACAGTTAAGCAAGAATTATTGGCGCAGGTAACTGGTTGTGGAGAGGATTGGAAGGGCCTTTTCTGATGACCTGATTTTCAATATGGAAGCCATCATGGAACGCCTTACTTCAAGTAAAGCCAACTCATACCAGCCAGATTTTTCTTGCTGTCCTTCTTGAGTAACTTAGCTGTGGAGAGACACCTGTGTGCCACGTGGTAACCTGGGTATGAGTCTGCAGGTCCTCAGCTGAGTGAAAGGGTGACTGTTACGCCCATCCACGAACTCCTGGCTTGGTCCACCCAGAGCAGTTAACTAGGAGCCCAGGGGCAGTTGAAGTGAAGAGAAATTAGTTTATAAAACAGCTCTAGGAAGAACCAGGCAGTTACGACTTACTAATGAAGGCAACCTTCATCCACTCGCCAGTCACTGGCTGAGCATCTCCTTACATTAGGCAGGATAAACTCAAGGATTTCTGGTGGGCACTGTTGTCTTTGAATATGCAGTGAATGAAAAATGAATCAGGGGCTCGGTAAATGGACAAAAGTCAGATGTGTAAATATGAGTTTTAAACTGAAAAGCCTTTAGTTGCAGCCTGAAACCCTTGGAGTCACATATACCAGTGGCTTCCCCGTTTCAGTGACTACCTGTGTGTTTAATGCCGTTGTCCACCCACTAAATTCACAGCTGAGCTTCCAGACTGTGGCCAAGTCTGGGCTTCCCTGTAGCGTAGAATTCAGCCCCATTGCACATGGAGCCACTGGGAGCTTTTTAAAAATACTCATGCCTGAGCCCTTACCTGGATATGTCTGATCGGGAGCTGGAGACAAGACCTACTGCACTGGGGAGTGTTTTGTTTTATTGTGTTTTGGATTTATTTTTTGAGACATGGTCTCTCACTGTGTTTTCCTGGCTGGCCTTGTGCTCATAGCATTCCTGCTGTCTCAGCCTCCCGAGGGTTGGGATTGCAGGCATGTGCCACCTCCTGGGGTGTTTTGTTTTGTTTTTAAGCCCTTATACATGTCTGGTGAGCAGTGAAAGTTAAGAATCACTTCTCTACAAGATGGAAATACTGTAATGGCACTCCCATTTTTAGTCATGGGAGTAACGTGTGTGCTTACTCAGAAATGCGGGTCTGTGAAATCTCGGGTCAGCCTGCAAGCTTCACAGACGAGGGGAAAACATTATGCACGGATCCTTCTGTATCCTCCCTGAACTGATCGGTATGCACAGGGATCCAGTTTCCCAGCGTTTGTGTCTCCAGATACCCTCAGCTGTCACAGCACTACACAAATGCCCGCTGGCATCCTGAGGGGTTACACTGGTTGCATGGATTCAGTGAGGGAAAATTGGTATGTTGAATATCTGTCCATCCAAAAATTTTGTAGGTCCTCCTTCTTATTTATTTTTATTCTTAATGTCCTTCAAGACGTATAGAGAGTTTGATAGGTTCTGTACATTGTTTAATATATTTATATTTTTATATTTCATATTTTTATTTTATAAAAAGATCATATTTCAGCACTGTGTGTTTATTGTAATAACTGAAGATGGATATTAATTTTGAAACCAGTGCACTTAGCTGAATTGCATTCTATTGCTAAAAGAAATTTAATTTTTTAAAATATTTTCTAGATAAGCAGATACATTATCTGAAAATAGGAATAATTTCATCTTCTCAACTGAAGTACTGATGCTTCGAGCTTTCTTTCATTGAGTTACACTGAACACTGCTTTTGGAACAGAGGATTTTAGTTTCAGGTGCTTACAGAAAGTAACCTCTATTGTACAAAAGACCTGAAGCTCAGTATGGAGTGGATTAAATACTCAGGCATGTTACAAACTCCAAAAAATGTGCTAGAATCACTTGTGATCATTTATTTCAATTTCCTTTTTTGTTAAAGTTTTTCAAACTAAAGAAAATATTATTTCCTCCACGTTTGTTTGTAACATTGTTAAGATTTTGATATGAATATTCATAACAGATTTATCCAGACTTTAATTTTTTTCATTTTTTGACTAGTACATGTTTTCGGTCTGTAATAACTAACTGCAGATAGAAGGAAATCCCTCATATTTTCTATATTGCATGCTATCATCCTCCCAATAGATACTTAGACCACTGGTCCCAGGCCTACAAAATCAACCAAATAGTACAAGCATTCAATTACTTTTTATACCTCAGTTGCTATCAACCCAGCCAGTTGCTTATGAGGATGGGGGTTATTCTCAGCCCACACACTGGTAGGCTCACTATGGTAGTCATTAGTGTCTTCCCCAATGGCAGATCTTGAAGACCTAAAAAGCCTCTATCATCCTGTAATGATTTGATTAGTTCTATAACATGCAGTATGTATTCAATGTGTGCGAAGATGGGGACAACTATTTGGAAGAAAACTAGAGACAATACGATAGACAGTGAAGATCTCCAGTGGACTTGCTTTGAAATCCGTATTTCTTTAAATTGTTTCTTTTTGAACTGTTCTGTTTTGATATGTTTAATCTTACCCTCTTTAAGATAAAAAACAAGTGTGTTTGGACTGATAACCATATTACGAAGCTTTTGTTGGATCATTGAGTAGAACTGTTGGCAGTGTCACTATTTGAATGTCACTTTACATACTTTAATTTTGTAACCTAACAACTATTTCTAAGATGACAATATGTAACTTATCAACTGATTTCTTACCATTTATTTTTCTGTAATTCTGTATTATTTCTACGCTTTTTTCCTCCATGTTTTTCTTTCTCTTTAAATAAAAAATAAAATGAAATAAAATAAATAAAGACACATTGCCACGAATCCTTCTTAAAGTCTCTCCTTTCCATTGCACATACTTGTCCCACCTTTCTTGCACTTTCTGAAGCAGCTCTGGAAGTCTTCTTCATGAGTGTCTTTATGATATGTGATCAAAAATACACTGGCTGCTGCTGCACCCTGCAACTGCTGGCTCTGCCCCAAAGTCAACATGACCTTGAAAGGTAAATGACTTTCATCAACTCGGAACACTGAGGCAATCAGCCTAGTGCAGCTGAAGACACTCAGGAAAGAGCACTCCAGAACTGCTTCATAAAGTAGAAAGAAGGATGGGTTAAATGTATCTGAAAGTAAGAAGATTTTGAGGGATTTGAGCTTCTTGACATGTCTCTTAGTAGATTGTTAAAAATGTTTAACTTTCACCATGTTTTATGATCACAGGTCATACACATGCCCAGCCAGCAGTTTCCCAGTAACTGAGTGACTCTCCTGATGCCTGCACCTTGGGCCAGAACCAGCAGGACATTTTGGTTGCAGCAGTAGTTGCATCCATCTCTGGCCATAAGAACCTCTTGCTGCTGCTGGATCTCGAGTGCTAACTTCTGGCGTTGTCTTGCTGAGCCTCCTGCTGCAGCCAACACCTCCAGCACCACCTTCAAAGGCTGAGACGGCTGTCAGGTGTGGGCAGAGCAGCAGGTGCACACTGCAGGCTGCAGAAATGCTGTGGCTTCTGAGTGCCGTCCTGCAGTTGTCTGTCCCTGACCTCTTTGCTGGCCCACCTTTCCAGCGGGACACTTCTGGCTCCTCCAGCTGGCACCTTGGTACTGCACAGTCTGCAGGCCATCCACCAACCTCAGCAGGGCTTCGGTCTTGCCTGGATGCCTGGTTTCCTGGGCTGCTGCATACCTTTCAGAACTGTATGCTTTTCATCCTAGGATACAGGCAGCAGGCATACCATGCCTCCCAACTCATCCTTCCTGAAAAATCAGGATTGGGGTGATAACAGCCAAATTTCCTCAATGGGCTCCTTTCAGTTGGCACAGTAACAACCTTCCCTCTTCTCTAACCCTCACAGGAAAATAATCTGAAGTGACCTGGTGTTAATAACCAGCTGTTTCCCTATTGCTCCTTCTCCCTGCTCCCCATTTACGATGAAATGATCAAGCCATGCTTTGCTGGTCTGGTTTCAGCTTTCTTTGACCCTTCTCCACTTACAAAACCAACTTTCTCTGCTCACTCTTTGGAACGCTGATTATTTTGTGGAAGGCAGGGTTGTCCAATTTTGCAAACTGAAAATAAAGCCAATTAAGATCTCTAAACTAAAATGTGATAATTTTGTCCTTGGACTACTGAGAAAATATATTTGCCTGAAATGCCACTACAAAGCAATTATGATATAAATACATCTTCAAAATGAGTAAGATGGTGACTAATATAAAAGAATATTGGGCAAAGGACATGAATAGCAATATAAAAATTAGACGTAATCACCAGAAAATATTCACTATTGCTAGCAATGGAATAAAGGCCAAAAATTCAAACAGTAGGGCTGTAGGTATCATTCAGTGATTGGTGCACAGGCCTAACACATCCCAGGCAGGCCTGAGTTCCAGCACCATAGTGTTCCCGCTGTGAAACACCGTGTATTGACCCTGAAGCATCATTTTGCCAAATCAGGAACGCACAGGCCATCAGCCCAGTGGACAGGGAGACACATGCTCCATTTCCTCCTCCTGAGGAGGCCCAGTCTCTTGTCAGAGCTACCCAGTTCTTGTCCTCCCTTTCTGACCTTACCAAA